ACATTTATTATTTTTTGTTAGTCTGTCTGTAAGTTCTTCATCAATAAGAACTTCAGTTTCCTTAAACAGCTCCGTTACTGTTGTTACTGCATTCAGAATGTCTGGCCACAACACCCACAGCATCACCAGTTTAGCCAAGTGAAGGGGAATGCGCCAATACTCTGTAAGGTTGATACCCATTCTGTGTAGATACTTTATGAGACCTTTTGTGTCACACCCATAGTCTTTGGTCTTCTTCATTTCTTCATGGTACTTGACGGCAAACTCCTCTCTTTTGTCTTCAGGAATCCCTATGATCTTGATGTGTGTAGTGTATATGCCCTCTGGAACAATTTTGTAGTACGTCTTGAGTGCCTCTGCCCGAGTGGTGGCCAAAACAATCAAGTTAGAAGTCCGTGCCTTGTAGAGGATCTCTTGAAACAGCTTTTTGGATGAGGGGTTCATCTCATCAAGGCCATCTACAATCACAAGCACTTTCTTTCTGAGCAACTGTTTCAGCATTTCATCCACATCGCATGTTATGGCAAAATCTGGCATCAAAGAGACCAAGAGTTCAGAGAATTTCTCAATGTGTGGCACTCTGCACTCAACAAACAGCAGAATGTCAAAATCTTCAAGACCTTCAATGTTGGAGTCCCCCTGACTCCAGCCATTAATCAACAGCCTGGTCAATGTTGTTTTTCCAACTCCAGATGGGCCTTCAACTAAGATGACATTGGCTTTGTCACTTGGCTGTCCTCCTAGGTTTGCACACATATTCTTAAACAAGTCAGTGTACATGACCTGCTGCCCTTTACTGCCCTTACCCGCTTCCACGATCTCTAGTTGTATATAAACCATGCTAACCAAAAGGGGAATATTCTCATTCAGGTAATGCAGTGGCGTAATGTATTCCAACTGCTTGTAAAAACTTTTAAGGTTAGCTATACCGACACTCTTAAGTTTCTCTTGAAGATACTCATTTCTGTACTCTGACATATCTGCTGGTGAAAAACGTTCAGCACAAATTTTGTTGATATTATTCTTCATGGTATTCACAAAAGTAGAAACTTCATCTGCGGGAATATCAAACATTTTCTCAGCTTTTTCTACAAGGTCTATCAGAAACTTTTCTAGCTTGTCTACTTTAGGCCTGAAGGAGGAATTATCATCCAGTCCTTCATGTATAACATCATTTCTATAATCCTTAACTGACTTTACATGATCAAGAAATTCCTTTGCATCAGTCTTAGTACGGCATGCAAACCTGAGGCAAGCACAGAGTAATGAAACATCAAACTCCTCTGGTGGCTTAGTTTGCAAAATTTGCCTCATTGTTTTATCAAATTTATAATCATCCTTCAACTTTGTCCAGGAAAAACCTTCTACTTTAGTGAAAAAATACCAGTAAGTCACATTTTCATTTTTTTGACCTTTGGTGCACCAGTTCAAGACAAAAAGTAGTGCTGAGGTGGCAACAGTATTTATCATCTTAAGTAGACGAAATAAGCAACAATCCTTTTCAGTAAACGCAGGAGTCTGCGTTGTACCGGCAGATGCTGATGGGCCGGAATTCATGGTTGCTTAGTAGGACTAACTTCCTGCCTGCAATGACAGAAGAGTTACAGATTAGATTATGTGGCCTGTAAGTTCAAACAAATATGTATATATACCATATATATGTATGATATATAATATATATATATATTATATATAATATATTAATATTATATAATATATATATAATATAATATACATATACATATATATCATATAATACAAATATATACATACACACGCACATACATGTGTGTGTGTGTGTGTGTGTGTGTGTGTGTGTGTGTGTGTGTGTGTGTGTGTGTTGTGTGTGCTGTGTGTATGTTGTGTGTGATATGTGTGTGTTATATATTATATCATTTATATATAATATATTATAGTTATATATATACACATATATATATAATATATAATATACTATATATATATATATATATAATACACATATATATATATATATATATATATATATATATATATATTATATAATATATATATTACATTATAATATATATTATAATAATATTTATATAGTATATATTGTATATATAATATAATATAGTATATAAATAAATATATATATAATATATATAATATATATATAATATTATATATATTATTATATATATATACCTACTAATACTATGAATTACTATATTACATATATATATAATTAATATATATACATACATACTACATTACATAATACATACAATACATACATACATATACATAAGACATACATTACCTACATATATATCTATATTATATATATATTATATATATATATATATATTTATATATATATATATATTATATATATATATAATTAATATATATATATATAATATATATATATATATATATTAATATATAATATATATATATTATATATATATATTATATATATACTATAATAACACACACACACACACACACACACACATAATAATATATAGTATATATAATATAATATTTAATAGTATATATATATACCTATATAAGTATAATAATTTATATATAAATCTATATCTATATAGTATCTTATAGTATATATTCATATATCTAGTATTATATATTAATGTAGTAATGTCATAGTATGTATGTCATGTATTACCTGTCAATGTTAGATTGTATGTAATATATAATATATTATATATATATAAGATACTCATATATTTAGTATACACACACACACACACACCCCACACACACACACAACAACACACACACACACACACACACACATATATATATATATATATAATATATATTATATATATTACAAATAATATTATATATTTATGTAATATATATTCTATATAATTAGTATTAATACTATATATATATATAATATACACACAAACAAACACGCACAACAACAACACAAATCAACACACAACACCACAAAACAAACAACAAAAAAAACAAAGAAAACAAAAAAGAGAAGACACAAAAAAAAACAAATAAAAAATAAAAAAAAAAAAAAAAAATATATATCAAATACTATAAACACTATACTTAAATATAACTATAATATATAAATATATTATGTTACAATTACAATTTATGTATACATATAGATACGATAATATATATAATACTATATCACCCTTATATACATACTCACCACACGATACCTCCCTACCTAGACTCAACTCACTCACTACCATATACTATATAAATATATACTATACCGTACTTATACCTATCATATTAATATATAGATATACTACTATATAATATACATATACTCACGTATACTAACACTCACCCCTAGTAAACATACCCCACCTAACATCCAACGTATAATAACACACATACTAATACTAACATAATCACATTTACCCCATATACAATAGTATATACTAATGTTACTAACTAAGGCTATTGACTAGTATATACGCTACACACACACAAAAAAAAAAAAAATACATATGGTATAATATATACTACTATATATATATGATATATATAAATTTATGATATGTGATGGAAAAACTACCAAGTACAAAAAAAAGACAATCACATAAGATAAGATGTAGTGGTGTGTGTGTAGATAAGTGAAATGTGTGCTTGTGAATAGTACTAGCTCTAAGTAGATAAGTGTGATGATCAGTGCGCTGAAATAGAATTAAGAATGTGAGTGACAATCATAATATATACCCCGCATATGTAACACTAATAAACTAAACCAACATAATATTACAATATATGTATATTATATATGTGTTGCCCTACTACTATACTACCTCATTACTACCTCATATATCACTCCATACACTCAACACTCCACTACTACGAACTATATGCTACCTATCATCGCTGCCTATCATTACTATCCCCCTACTCACCCCTCATACCTACCCTCACTCACCTCCCCTCACCCCCTACCATATCCATGCCCCTCTATACGCATATGATCACTCACCCTTTATACTCACGCCCCCTACCCCCCCTACCCTCATCATTCACTTTATCGCACTACTCTCACTCACTGCCTCCTCACCCTACTCACTCTGCGCTCCACTCACACATACTATATGCTTATCCAATAGCTATATGTTACCACCTATATATATAGTACTACCACCCCTACCTCACCCCTACCTATTACTACCTACATATAAACCACCCCTCCTACTATATACTCATATATATACGGTGTAGTGCTTATAGCTATATACTACTATATAGCTATATATACTTATACAATCACTCATTCTCCTCATAAAAAAAATAGAAAAAAAAAATATATGAATATATATATGCCTATAGTATATCATATGCACACAGTAAGCAAGGGCAAATCCTGAAGGTGATTTGTCTGTGGGAGCAGGCAACAAAGTTGTGTCGCCGCCCCAACTATTTGGCGATGCCGGATGAACATAAAACGCCACAACATATGGAAGTAAAGGCTGCAGTGAAATAGCCGCTTGTATTTCCAAGATGGGACTCTATTCTTCCATGCATGCTGAGGTGAGAGTTTGTTTAATTACTATATCATTATGTATTATATATATGAAAGCCCCACCCCCCTCACCCTACCAGTATAATCACAAAACTGTACAAGATAATCACAAATATTTATACAATATAATATATACTTAATACTATACTATCACTATACATATCACCCTCACCCGTATATACTATATACTACTAGAACTATACCTCATGCACTCCAACCCCTCGCTAGATGTAGTCCTATAATGATACATAATATATTTATATATATACTCTCATATAACCACACACACACTTTATAGTACTCAATATAATAATACTTACAAATTATAACAATACATAACATATATAGCATATAATATACATATACAATATACATTATATAACTAACTATATATTTATATCATATAACCCCTACTGAACTACTCTTAACCCCCCACCCCCTACCTCACCTACCACCTTATATCAAATCTATCACTACTATTCATTCTGATGGTATTTCCTTCCACACACTTGAGATAATAAACAAAAATAATATAAAAAAAAAAAAATAACAAAATAAAAATAACTAATAATCACCACTCAACTACACGTTAATGCAGATTAGTGCTAGACTAGTCTACATACTACTCATATATATATATATCTCTATCATACCACCTCCACTACTCTCCCACTCATTAACTACAACATACCATACACCTATCTTCATACATATAACACTCTACATACATTAAAATATATACCATATACATACACCTATATAACATTATATTACATAATATACATACATATAACACACAACACACACATACGTTAATATATATAGATATACTATAACTATATATATATAGATATATATATTATACTAACTATATATATGATGAGAATAGAATGATAATAGAAAAAAATAAACGAATAGTGTGTGTGTGTGATGTGTATAGATAGTAATATATATAAACTAATTATAACATAATAATTGAATAAATAATAAATTACTACACCCTAATATACCTACTACTCACATACCTACTTATATACATACTATAATACTATATCACCCTCGCCCTACCCCTAACATAAAAAATATATATATATAATAATATAATAAAAATATATCACATATATATATACTCCAATGTGTGGCAACGAACTACCCACAGCAGACACTGAAAAAAGTGCTTATTGGATTGCATGCAAGATCTTATTCCAAGCCATTCTCTTGCTCTCAAAAGCCTCCAAGGAGTGGTCTCGCGGATCTAATTCTGGTAACATGCTTTTGATCCCGAATTACCCGATCACACAGTCAATTCTTAATTGGACGTCTTAAATGTCCTATAGTCTTTGCTTAATTTTAAATAACCACGTTTCAAATTCACGAAAATTCTCCCTCTTAAACATAGCACAAAACACGGACCAAATCAGCTAAACTTTGCCGAAACATACCTTCAAAGTCGGACCGAAAGAGTTGCGTCCCGAGCAGGGTCGTTTTAGTGTGTATAAATGCACATTTTTCTCTATTTGTGACCCATTTTTTAGCATTTTTCTCAGTAATTATAGGGTAATTTTCAATATTTTCACGTGGTATTTCTTCAGACTTCACGCGCTTATGGTATGTCCGTTACTTTCGCCGGAAACACCTTATCTGCTGAGCACAAGTAGATTGGATGGTGGACCGCAACCAAGTTTCTCATTTTGGCTACAACTTAAACACCGTGGAAAATGTCTGACAAACACTTATAAAACAAGAAAGAACGAGAAGAAAAAGGGACAACATCTGATGCATTAATTTATCATCGCAACAAGTTCTCTTTGGTAAACTTAAACTGGAAAATGTCTAAAACACTATAAAAGAAGAAAGAAGAAGAAGAAACGGGAAAATCTGATGATATTATCTCCTAGAATTGGTAAAACTACACTCATTCATATATGAAATACCCGGTGACGTATGAAAATAACGTCAAAACGCAAAAGGCAGGTAGTGGAGTAGGATAACGCAGCGCCCGGGTGGGTGGCACCCACTGGGTGCCAGGGGATGGGACCCACTATAACGTACAGCGATTGGATGGGGGTCCTGGAGCGGAGCCCCCGACCAAAGACCTTGCCGCCGATAGGGAATGACAGCGATACGATTTGAATAAAAAATTCAAATTAACTAAAATGAATAAACAATAAAAAGTGTGGATGTCTGCAGGTAGAACCAGTGATAAGAAAAAGTAATCGGGTGTTTTTTTTTTTTTTGCTAGTTTTCTCTATTTTTGACAATATGCAGCATCATTGACATATTTTGGCTGTATTTTTCTATTGTAATATATATTCCCCCCCCCTTTCTAATAGTAATTTTGTATTTTGACATTTGTCTGTTTTTAACAGTATATATGCCTCAACCGTATTTTTAAAAATTTCATTCATATGTGTCCCCCCACATTTTTGACAATTTTTGTATTTTCAACAGTATCCTTATGTGTAATCAGAGTTTAGCTATATTTTTCATTATTCATTGAACTTTTCTTAATTTTTTACAATTTTCAGTATTCTATTCTTTTTTTCATTTAATGTTTTTTTTTGTTTCTCTATTTTTAAAAAAATTTATATGCTATTTTTTTTTACTTTTGTGGTTTTGTATTTTATACTTGTTTGTATGCACAACTGTATAAATTTATTTCATATTGCTGTTGAGAATTATCAAAGCAAGGCAGTATTGAGATTATACTTTATATATATATATATATATATATATATATATATATATATATATATATATATATATATATATATTATATATATGTGTGTGTGTGTGTGTGTGTGTGTGTGTGTGTGTGTGTGTGTGTGTGTGTGTGTGTGTGTGTGTGTGTGTGTGTGTGTGTGGTAGATAGATAGATAGATAGATAGATATAGATAGATAGATAAAGATGTGGATATAGATATAGATAGATAGATAAATATATACACACTTGCTCTTACTTTTTTTAAGCTGCATATTTTTTTTCATAGTTTTGGTATTAGCATACATTAATTCCTTCATTTTTTCCAGGGATCTTAAATGTGATTGAATATGTTACTATAAGAGTAGATTTTATGCATCCTGTTGCTATTCTTAACTGTTTATGCGACTGTGAGTTTTACTTATATATTATAGAATTTCATAACTCTATCAGCTCCTTATGATGTGGATGATATTGTCAGTATGTTGTATTTGAATACTTTATTTTTTTCAAGTTATTGACATTATTTTTCTAGTTTAACTTTGGTGCATGAAAGTCATGTCTTTTTTCTTTCTTTCTTTTTAAGCTTTTTACATTTTCCTTGATTTGATTTTTAGGATCCATTTGTCTGCTCATTCTTTCATCTATTTTAATCCTACTTCCAAGTAATATTTTCGTTTCTGGGAAATTTTTCACTCATTGTTGAAATTATTTGTTGTATGTATATAATTTTATTGTTCTTCTTGGTCTGGTCTGTGTTTACTCTATTGTCATTATGTTTCAGATAAGGGGTTTAAAAGTGAACCTTGTGGTAGGCCCATTGGTATTTTTTCCTTTTTGACATTATTTTCTAATAGGTTCTGTCTTGAAGGAAGTTGATTAGTATTCACTGTAACACATGTAGAACTGGTATGAATGAGGATAAATACCTTCACAGTGCAAGAGATGTATATGATCAGTTTCAGGAAATGAAGGATTCCTTCGAGTGGGATGACTGCTGTTCCTATCTTTGCCGCTGCTTTTACTTTTGCCTCATCGTTAACTTTGTCAATTGTTCTTTCAGGGTTAAGGGAGGTAACTAGAGTATATTATCTTGTCTATAGATGTTTTGTTGATATGAAAGTCCATTTTTTAGCATGCATGTATGGTGTAGCATTTGAATCTGAAACCTATTAAATCTTCATCAGATTTTTGGTTTGTTTCTGTCTCTCAATTGAGTCAGTCATTATGCCTTCTAAAAGTCTATATTTGATATTATATTTTCAGAAAGTTTTTATTTGATATAATTTCCAAAATATGTATATTATTTTGCATGAAGAACATTTTCATTTACTGTTGTGCTTTCAAAGAATTGTTCTATACAGTATATTATGCTTATGAATCTGTGCGACTTGATTTCTTTGAGATTGTTTCCTGGTTGTGTTATTTGGTTTTGAATTCTTTGGGGTATTGTATTCTTGTCCCTTGTCCAATAATAAATGAAGAGTTAAGAGTCTTTTTCAGAGTATTTTTTGGGGCATTTTTGAAGAATTTGTCAAGGATTTCATTTAGTGCATAAGCTATTTTATTGATGCATTTTTGTATTATAACATGCTAATTCCTTTATTACAAATTCTGTTTAAATATTTTTATTTAGATACTGTTAATTTCTTTATTTCCATTTTTGTTGGTAATCTTTGTATTTTAACTTACTCAAACTATTTTTTTTATATTTTTTTCAATACTCCAGATTGGTTCATTATTACTGTATCATGTGTAATTACTAATTGTATTTTTACTAGCATTTTTACTATTTTTGTGAGTAAATTGTTACTTTGCCTGCTTTGTGTTATTTGCTTGATTACTTCCTTTATCAAAATTTATGGCATATAAATGTTTACTATTTAATGTTTCTTGAAATTCTCATCCATCATTATTGAAATTTCATTGATTTATTTGAGAGTTATTAGTGAGACCTACCTACACTGCCTTGTTGCATAACCAAGTGCTTTTTGTTGCCAGACCTAAATAACCAGCGAGGATGTTCCCGGACTTAGACTCTCTCACCTATAACCTGAACCACAGGCACCGTGGACACTGCGTTATATTCAACCAAGAAAATTTTGATGAGTGCTTAAGTTTAAACGTAAGCTGACTAAGTTTCTCATCTAGATAGACTTGAAGATATTGCGATAATGTATGTTTTGTTCCCAACTCTGTGGAAGGTCATATTAGAGCAATAACCTTTGAAGTTTTGATTTAAAGACGGGCTACAAAGGAGAAATATTCCATACCACAGACAAGAACGAATTCTTCCCTTGATGTGGAGTTCATGGTGACCTTATTCAAGGACCTTGGCTTCATAGTGCGAGCCTTCGTTGACTTGCGGTTGAAAGAGATCAAAGATATCCTCGAGGATCGTGAGTAACTGAGCACATGTGTAGGGGACCGAATCTTCGGTGGTAACACCTGTTGTCCATTAGATTTAAAACCTTTTGTTAATATTTTTTTCAGAGTTTAGGAACACTTTCTCCTTTGGTTTTGTTAATAAGGTTTGTACTCAGAGTTGAGAGTCAAATTGTATTGCCAATTTTTTATTTTCTTTTAACAAATTTTCTGCATTCAATTTTGTCTTTTTTTTTACATTCCAGCCTATATATATATATATATATATATATATATATATATATATATATATATATATATATATATATTAATATATATATGTATATATACATGTATATATATATATATATATGTATATGTATATATATGAATATATATACATGTATATATATATATATATATATATA